CGGAACTACCATCTCCCGTGATCTGGACACAATGCTTCTGTTAATGCATCCTAAGATTGCATTAACTTTCTTCGTAGTCACATCGCACTGTAGGCTCATGTTTAGCTTGTGATCAACCAGAACACCTAGATCCCTTTCACATGAGCTGCTGTCAAGCCAAGTCCCTCCCATTCTATATCTGTGCCTTTGATTTTTTTTATATACCTAACTGTAGGACTTTGCACTTCTCTTTATTGAAATTCATTTTATTTGTCTCAGCCCACTGTTTCAGCCTATCTAGATCATTTTGAATCCTGACTGTCTTCTTCAGAATTAGCAATCCTACCCGGCTTCGTGTCATCTGCAAATTTGATAAGCATCCCCTCTATGTCTTCCTCCAGGTCATTTATAGTCCCCTGGTTCTAGAAATGTGTGAGAAACTGTAGGTAAATCAAGATGGGTAGCCGTGTTAGTCTGTCTGTAGCTGTAGAAAAGAGCAAGTCCAGTAGCACCTTAAAGACTAACAAAAATTTTGTGGCAGAGTATGAGCTTTTGTGAGTCACTACTCACTCCTTCAGATACTTAAAGACTAACAATTTTTGTTAGTCTTTAAGGTGCTGCTAATCTCTTGGTAAGTATCTGAAGAACATAATTAGCAGAGGCAGGCTCTGTACCTTTCTGAGGCATAGACTGTTGTGTGTTTTGATTAGACTGGGATGTAGAGTTTCCAAGTTATTCCATTTATGAGGAGTTTCTCCGTGCTTTTTGTGAAGCCTCCGTAGTTTCCATTTAAAAAAAAAAAATCATTTTTCCCTTTGTAGAAAATCCTCCCCTGAAAAGGAAGAAGGGGCCTGCCCCCAAGATGCTTGGAAATGAGGTGTGCAGTGTCTGTGGAGACAAGGCCTCAGGCTTCCACTACAATGTTCTGAGCTGCGAGGGCTGCAAGGGCTTTTTCCGCCGCAGTGTCATCAAGGGTGCCCAGTATGCCTGCAAAAATGGCGGCCGGTGTGAGATGGATATGTACATGCGTCGAAAGTGCCAGCAGTGCCGGTTACGCAAGTGCCAAGAGGCAGGCATGCGAGAACAATGTACGTGACAAGAATGGTGATACCCAAAGCAACATGGAAGAAAGAAAATATGTGGGGGCCACATGGCTCTTAGGGCTTCTTCTTGCAATATTATGCCTTATACATAGACCTGCCCCAAACTTCTAAGGAATAGTGATTTTATAAATCAGACAATATGCATAATGTAAACTGTTTAATTTGAAAATATTATTCTGATTGCAATATATGAATTTCCACTGAATTCAGAACATTTAGGAAGGGAATCTCATGCAGTGGAGACACAATCAGACCGTCACTGGAAGCAACGAGTGCAGAAGGCTGGATGGCAGGCATAGTAGCTTCAGCACTGTCAAGCCTTCAGGAGGCCGTGCAGAAATGTTTTGAAGAGCTTTGTCTGCTGCCATGAGGTCTTGAAATTTGCATTTTTAATTTTTTTTTAGAGAAATCACAGAGAAGACAGTGGCCTTTACACAATGTGGTTTATGCTGATGCATGGAAAAATAAACAGCCTGCTTGTGCAGGAGCCATGTCAAGAGACAGTGAGTGTTACCATGCAGCTTGGTGTATAGAAGTGGTGACAGATGCTGCTTCAGTGCTGCAGAGTTAGGGAAGTGTCTGAAAGGTTTTCACCTGTGTCATCTTTGCACCTCCCCCCCCCTTGTGTGTCTGTTCTCTCACTGCTCCCTGTTCTGTCCCCAACTTTCAGGTGTTCTTTCTGAAGAGCAGCTCCAACTGAAGAAACTTAAGAAGCAGGAGGATGATCAGGCCCGGATGGTGGTTGTGCGGCAGAACCCACCATCTCCTCCCAGCATCCCTCCCAAAATGACGCCTCAGCAGCTTAACATGATAGAAAAGCTTGTGGCAGCTCAGCAGCAGTGCAACCAACGCTCCTTCACAGACAGGCTCAAAGTAACGGTAAAGGCATATTTTAGGTTGGCTGTAAACTAGAAGGGGAAAGGAAATCCAACACAATCTCAAGGAAATTTGATTCACTGAAATTGGGTTGCAGTTAAGGGCTGCAGTTAAGTGCTGCCAGTTAAGGGGACAAGAAACTGAGGTGGCCTGGCCAGCTGTCTGTGCGCGCGTATCCATCTGATACAAAAAAGAAATAGCGATCCTTCTTAAATTCTTTTCATGAGGGGCTCTGCATTTGGGATGGACCCTGTGACTGACCTAGTCTGGCAACATTGGAGGAGGCCAAGAAAGAGGAAGCTCTACCCAAGGGAAAAGCAGCCAAGAACCAAGGGATTCCCCACTGGCCTGACGGGACCTGCCTTAGAGGCCTGTGACCTGCAAGTGGCCAGGCTCCAATCAGCTCAGCCTAGGGATGCCAAGTCCCCCTGGGGGGCAGGGAGACCCCCGCCTGGGAGGCCCGTTCCCCGCCGCTGCCGGATTGGGCCCCCGGGGGGAACCTCACCCCCAAAGCACGTCACACGGAAGTCATGCAAGCACGTCTGGGATGTTGGGGGTGGGGCCACAATCATCCGAGGGAAAACTCTATGGTTTTCCCTCAGATGATTGTGGCTCCGCCCCCAACGTCCCCGATGTGCTTGTGTCACTTCCGTGTGATGTACTTGTGGCGCACGTGCGAAGACTCCCGGAGCAAGGCTGGACTCCCCCGCTCCAGAACAGGTAAGCACTTGGCAACCCTAGCTCAGCCAAGGTGGAGAGCCTTTACAGCTGCCATGGGAAGGGAGGGAATTCCCCTTGAGCTGTGGGATGGCTGTGTGTGTGTGTGTGTAAAGGGTGGAACCTGAATCCAGGGGCGGGGCCAGTCCCTGGGCCCATTCTTAAGAGCTGCTGTGGGTGGGGTTGATGGGGGAAGGGAATTTGGAGGAAGGGAGCCCAGCATTTGGAAGTGAGGGAACTTCCCCAGGAGGAGAGCCTGTTTCCTGTAGGGGAGTTGTACAAGGGAAAATGCTTAATGAAGGAAAGCTTGGAACTACAACTTTGGGTTGGAGTGTCTTTGTAAGCAGCTGGGCAGGGCCTTGGAGAAATGACCACCACCCAGCCCGTTACTCCTTTCCATGCTTACAGGCCCTACTAAAAGAATAAGGGCCAGGCTAGTAGAGCCTGAGAGGATCTTGGCTGCACCTCATGCTAGCTGAAGTCAGAGGCCTGATCCTCAGAGTAGGGCAAGTGGAAGCTTCCTGATGCTGGTTTGGGAAGCAAGCAGGGTTTACCTTGGTTCAAGGTGCCAAAGGGCCATGTTGTAGCATGATGGCTCTTGGGCCGTGGGATACCGGCTGATGATTACTGGACAAGAACAATTGTGGAAGTTGTTTTCATCAGGTTTATTTGTTTGAAAGTGTTAAATACTGGGTTCTAGATGCATTGCAGTGATCAGCTCTGGTTTACTAAGTGATTTCAGCAAACTACAAGACAAGCTAGCAGGGCTGGAGCCTTGCTTATAAGCATGCAAAACACCACACCCAACACACACCCACTCCCAGTGATAGGCTATTTACATTACACTGCTTATCTATTGGTTAGTTCCTGGATCCAGGTGAGCTATTGTTCTAGAGAAGCAAGCTCAGCCCGTTCTAGATACAGCTAGAGGAAAGGCTTAGGCTCAATACATAATAGAAAGCTCAGGGCAACGAAGCTGTGGAGGAACTGGGATGATTCAGTGGTTAGATTTGTTTTTCTTTCTACCTTTATCAACCTCTTTCTTTCTCTGCTCTCCTGCCCCCATTTGCTTTCCCTCCCAATTGCAGCCGTGGCCTCAAATTTCAGATCCCCATAATCGTGAAGCACGACAACAGCGCTTTGCTCATTTTACAGAGCTTGCAATAATTTCTGTACAGGAGATTGTGGACTTTGCTAAGCAGCTGCCGGGTTTCCTGGAGCTTACCCGGGAAGATCAGATAGCTCTTCTAAAGATGTCTACAATAGAGGTAAGTGTTGGCAGAGTTTAAATATGCAAAGGAAATGGAGTACTGATTGTTTAGAGAAAAATATGTAGGTTTATTAAAGAAGAACAAACTGTTATAGAATACAGGAGAGAGAGAGAGAGAACCTTAACTGTCCAACCTAACTGCTGAAGGAGGAACAACAAGAAGGAAGCTCTGCAGGAGCTGGAAGTCTCCAGAAGAAGCCAATCTGGAGACAGCAAGGACATAATTTGAAATTGTGGGCAGTCCCTAATCTAGCTATGCTAACCACCAGTCCTTCAGCTGTCCCCCCGTAGGATGATCTTGAGATCTTCTTCATAAGGCTGCACTATAGCCCTTGCATATTCCAACAATAAGAACTAAATTTTGTCAGAAGGATTGACATCCAAGAGTTGAGTGCCAACCATGCAAGTGCCAAAATGCGTGTACGTGGGAGGTTTTCAGGAGAATTTGCCAGTCTTTAATTCATTTCACTGATGGATTACCTAGCTATGAGATCCCACCTAATTTCTCTAAGTTTCTTAAAACTGGCTTTCCTGAAGTTCAAGGTACATGTTTGGTTATGGTCACCCTGAGCTTTCAATATCAAGAATTCCAGCATTATGTGATCACTTTTCCTCAAAGTTCCCATTGCTTCATCTCATCCAATAAATTTAATTAGGATCTAGTCAAGGGTGGCTGATAAACTCATTTCTTCTGCTGTCTTCTGAAAGAGGAAGTTGTCAGCAGTAAGAGATACCAGAAATGTATTGAGTATACTGTGCTTAGCAAAGTTTGTTTTGCAACCAATGCTCCCTCTAAGCTGTGGAGTCTTGTGAACAAAAATTCTACTTTGTGAGCAACTGGCATTAAAGTTCTGAGTGAGCAATTTGGCTACTGCATAAATTAGTTTTCTCTGGAGCTGTTCTTCCTGAGTTAAGACAAAAATGTGTGCTGGAGGCTGAAAAACTGTGAGCTAACTGACACTAACTCAGCTTAGAGGGAACATTGCAACCAGTATCAGGGTAATTGAAGTCTCGTATTATTTTTACTAATTCTTGCTTCCTTGAAATATGATTGTCTCAGGAAAGCATTGCCCCTTGGTTTGGAAGTCTGCAATAAACTCCAACCACAATCTTCTTTTCCGTTCTTTTCCTATTTATATTCACTCAGATGCTCTCTACAGGGCTATCAAGTTCACTTTCTTGGATTTCTGCACATGTAGAATTTTTAAAATTATAATTACACAGTTGGACAAATTACAGCATGTAGACAGCAACTACAACATTATAAAATTCAAAATAGTATTGACAATTTAAAAAATAAGAATAAAAACTATGGGCTATGACATGCTTAATATAGATAACCCATCTCTTTTAGTAAAATCGCATAAATTCAAATTATTTATGATTTCTAAAGGAGCTAATACCCTGAGTAGTTTGGTCTAATTTCTCTATTACAGGTGACCATTTTGTTATACATTTAAGATAATCTTGATATGGATCTGCTTATCCATGGTCGCGTTCACACAGGCAATTTGATCCATGGCCCTTGCTGTTCCCTTGTGGATTTAAAGTGCACGATCAGACAGCGACATCAGTCATGCCCCAGCCGCCTGAGTTCCATTCCCCCCTCCTTGCTCCCCTTGCCCCATGTTTCTTTGATACCTGAGAAAGTCTGGTCCTGTTGGTCTGAGCTGCTTCCAAAATGAATTTCCTGTCGGCTAGTGTCTCTATTGCGCACCCAAGCCACCAGGCAGGTCTCATTGGTCTCTTGTTTTCCAGCCACCATCCCCCCCCCCCCAGTTAGCGAGGATTGCATGATCGTATATATGCACCTCTCCTCCCCTGGGAGGGAGGTGCTCAAAACCTTGTTTGCTTTTGAAAAACTCTCAAAGAAAAACACCCCTGTTCTGCAGCTTTTTAATTTCATTTGGGGAAGGGGTAAATTGAAAAGATTAGAGGGAGGACGGCAGTGAACTCCGTATTCCAGCATTCTCAGCAAGCGCTTGTGCGCATGCTCAGAGGGAAAACTTTTTAAAGTAATGGCTGACAGCCTCATGAACTACATATCCCAGAAGGCTCATCCCTGCTTGTAGGCATGCCCCTAGGACAAACGTCTAAAAAAAATGGCCGACAGGCTGACTCCGTGCTTGGTGCTGTCTGGTCATTCCAGTAAAATCACTTTGAAGAGTGCTAAAAGGGGTGAGTCTGGTCAGGATTCTCTATAACAAAATAATCTGGCTCTATTAGAGGCAGGGCAGCAGTGGATTGAACTGCCTGTCTGATCGCGACCCATAATATAGTGGTCCCAAATAACTGAGTACCATTGAATAATACTCAGAGAATCTGTAGATTTCCATTTTCGTGCTATACATGTTTTGGCAGCGGTCAATATGAGGAATATTGATGCATTGCCAAATTTTTGAAATATAATGTTACTTCCTTCTATTACCTATTCTGTTATTTTTGAACAAGTTATATATTTAAATTGTTGTATTCTAATCACAGCAGCCATCCCATCAATTCTGTGGTATCTATTAAGTTATATTTACCTTCCTCAGTATGTCTTCAAACTTATCTTGTTTATTTCTGGTACAGACATCAAAAGCCATGGATATATTTCTCCTGCTGTTTTATTGGGAGGGATGGTGGTGCTTAGGCACCCATAGAACTCCCCCAGTTCCTCCTGTAGTACCTATCTTTATTATTTACCTTTGTACTTACTATTGCAGGGTATATTGCAGAAAACAGGATTTGACTACTTGGCTTTCTTCCCTAATATGGGAGACTGTTTGGGATAGTTCTGGACCTCTGACTTCTCTAGTGCAAATCCCACCCCCTTGTGTTCTAGGGCAACAGAGGTGAAGGACTGGAACTTAGTTGACTACTGCAGCAGAACGCATCAAGCGCTTCCTCACTTTCTGGTGCAGCTCCTGCTAATGGTGCTGGTAACAAGCTGTGGGTGCAGGAATCTAGTCTGCTAATTTCATAACAAAGACCTTCTTCCATTTTAATGTTTAAGGTGATGCTGTTGGAGACGTCTCGGCGCTACAATCCAGAAACAGAAAGCATCACTTTTTTGAAGGACCTGAATTATAATCGGGATGACTTTGCCAAAGCAGGTGAGCTAAACTCAGTGTAGACCAGCAGTCTTCGTATGTGGGACTTACCTTGAACCCCAATCTGGTACATGGGTTGCGTTACACCAGTTTGGTGTAGTGGTTAAGTGTGTGGACTCTAATCTGGGACAGCACAGGGACCTAGCTGTGTGCGGACACCCTTCCTCTGACAACACCCAAGCAAACACACACAGACACAGCTGTGGCCAAACACAGAATTTTACTGAAGTACTCCATGGACAAAGGAGCTGAGAAAACCCAAATGCATCTCCATGTAGCCTCAGGGAAAATGGGTATTACTCTCCAGGGGTGACTTGAAAATGGGCCAGGGGGCCAAAGCCTTCTTTTTTACCACTTATGCAGATTTTTATACCTCTCCCAACTTTTTTCTCATCTCTGTGACCCATCTTTCTGTTTGCCCCTTGTCTTAATTTTTTTTTATAAAACTAAAAGTCAAGAAGGTGCTTGAGTCCCTCATGTGGTCCACTTAAGTTGGCCTATGACTCAGTTGTGATGTGTCACCCATCAGTAGAAGACCAGTGGTTTGGATTATCATGCAAATATTGTTCTTCACTGTGGGCTAGTATTCAGACCAGCTTATTTCTTTGCTGAAACACAAAATGCAGAGCCTGTACCAATAGAAATCAAACTTTGTTCTCATGATACGTTAGTTTGGAGAAGAGGAGGTTGATGGGGGATGTGATTGCTCTCTTTAAGTATTTGAAGGGGTGTCACTTAGAGGAGGGCAGGGAGCTGTTCTTGTTGGCAGCAGAGGATAGGACTCACAATAATGGCTTTAAATTAAGGATGGGAAGGTACCGGCTTGATATTAGGGAAAACCTTTTTTACAGTTAGAGTTGTGCAACAGTGGGATCAGCTGCCTAGGGAGGTGGTGAGCTTCCCCAGCAGCAGCTGGATAAACACTTGTCAGGGTTTTTCTAGGCTGACCCTTCATTGAGCAGTGCCAGACCCCCCAAAATCGACCAGCATTGCTTTGAGTGGCAAAACCCCCCAGCTGTCTGAAGCAAATGCTGGTGGTGGCTCATTTCCAGCACTTTACATTATCCAATCCAGCCCCAACAGAGCTCAGCAGGATGGACCAGCCCCCACTGGGTGGTGGGAACTCCTTAGGTCCTCCCTTGGTGGTCTCTCTCCTTCAGTTGCAGAGTGTGCAGATCCTGCTACTTAGCTGCACTGTCCCTCTGCTGTCTGGTCCCGGCCCCTGCCCCCAGTAGCCTATCTGCTTTTTCTCAGGGATCCCTTCACATCCTGGAGACTCTCTATGCACTGTGCATGCTGCTGGTTTGGGGGCACACAGTTCCGGTGCCTTGCCCAACCCACCCCTTGATCTGTGTGCAGAGGTATGTGAGTATTACTAGCAGGATGAGAACCAGCCACTCTGCCACTGGATTGCAGCATCAGCATACTGAATCACCCACCACACCCTTCCTCTGACAACACCCAAGCAAACACACACAGACACAGCTGTGGCCAAACACAGAATTTTACTGAAGTACTCCATGGACAAAGGAGCTGAGAAAACCCAAATGCATCTCCATGTAGCCTCAGGGAAAATGGGTATTACTCTCCAGGGGTGACTTGAAAATGGGCCAGGGGGCCAAAGCGCCAGCAGGCTGGATACCAATGGCGCCTTCCGAGGACAGGCTTCCTCTGTGGTCAGGGCACAGAGTAGCCCTGGGGCTTGATGGTTGGAGCTGGAATTCTCCCTGTTGGGTTTTGACCTGTGGATAGAGGAGTGCTTATAGCAGCATCTGCAACCAGACTCCAATAGTTGCTTGGAGGGCATTGGAGATCCTACAGGGTGCACTTAGTGGCCCCTGGGGTGGATCTGTGCCACAACCATGCCCCCTCCCTAAGGTTTGCACAAACCATTCCTCTCACCTGTGTGGCACTCTTGTCCACACCACCAGCTGATAAAGGGTCCACCTTGGCATCTGCTCCAGGGACTCCACTCCTTCAAGGGAATGATTTTAGGAGTTATGTGCTAATGCACTCTACTCAGGATAGTGGGATTTGGCCCAGCTATTGCACCCTGTCCAGGGGAGACCCCACCAACTGCCTGAGCTGCCAGTTTAGTGCACACCTGACAGCTTGGGCCCCCTCCCCTAGGAGCTGTCCCGGCCCGCTTCCCATGCAATGAGTGCACAGGGCCAATAGTACGGGGAGAGGCTCAGGGGATGGTGTGGCAGGTCAGGGGCTCCTGTGCCCCCCCCCGGCTGCTGGTGTTGGGTTTGGGAAGCATCATTGATGGGGCAGTTTCTGGCCACGGATGGACAGCAAGGAGGAAGGGGGTTGGGAAAAGGGTGCCTTGCTTACTTGTCAGTGTGTGGCTGCCCTTTTGGGTTCAGGCTGAGGAGATGAGGAACCTGTTAGGGGCGAGAACTGGGAGAGGTCAGCCATAGAGTGTGGGCTTTGCTCTCCCTGTTGGGTGTTTGTGCCAAGTGCTTGCCCAGTAATGCCAAGTGCCCTCTCTGTGCTTTTCCTGCCACCAAGATGCCTGGGCACTTGTTCTAAGTCCATATGGCAGGGAGCTATCAGGCAGTGTCCTGTGATACACACCCTAGTTCAGTGGTGGCGAACCTATGGCACGGGTGCCAGAGGTGGCACTCAGAGCCCTCTCTGTGGGCACGTGTGCCATCGCTCCAGCCAGGCCCAGACCATCATTAAAGTGTCAAATTCTCTGCCAAATAATTTTGCTTTCCTTACTTTGTTTGGATCATCTTAAGTTAATGTATGGGTTGTTTTTTCTAAAGTAAAACCTCAGCATTCAGGTTAGATTGCCGTGTTGGCACTTTGCGATAAATAAGTGGGTTTTGGGTCGCAGTTTGGGCACTCAGTCTCTAAAAGGTTCGCCATCACTGCCCTAGCTCCTGAGTTGTGGGACATCCTGGTGGAAGTATTTATAGCACTGGGAGGGGCTGTGATTTGGTGCTGGCCACTACAGGGGAGGAAGCTGATTGGTTGTACCCTTAGTTTGTGTCCTCAGGCTGTTTGGGGAGTCATGAATGTGGCTGCAGTAGTGGGGGTGGTGCAGCTAACTTTCTGATATACTGGGTACCTATGGGCTATCCCGCCATTTTTGATGGTGCAACTTTGCACCTGTTTGGGGGGATGTTCCTGGTCTGAAAGGGCTTAGGGAGCCACCTAAACACAACCATACCTTCCAAACTGCCCACTGAGATGTGCCAGAGTTGTACCAGTATGCAGCTGCCACAGAGACACACTGGTGCAAGGGAGCTGTGCAGTAGCTAGGTCCCTGTGCTGGCATGACTGGCCCTTATGCCTTTTAGGATTGCACTGCTAATAATAGAGTTTAACCCCCTGACTTGCACTATTATCTTAGAGTAAAGATTCCTTTGAAATATTTGTGTCCTGCTTTTAAGATTTCAAAAAAAATGCTGAGGGTTATAATTTCATTAATTCTGGAGAATTTTGAGGACTCAAGTGCCTTAATCAATTTTTCTGTTAAAATATTTTTGTTTTATGTGGATAGTTACTTGCCCATGTGCCAGTTATTACAGATCCAGATGTTTGTGGAAGAGGGGTTTTATGATGGTTTGGATCCATGCTTCAGTGAATGTAGTGACTTCACAGTCGTAATACACCTCTTTTCCCCCCCAGCAGCCCACTGCACATTGCTAAGTTTTCGCTGAAGGCCAGAGGACCCTCTAGAACAATATGACATGTGGCATGGTGGTGGTAGAGGGGGCTGCTGCTGGAGAAGAAATAATTTAAAATTGTTCCCTCTTTAGCCTTGTACAAGCGGAACAAATTCCATGAATGAACCAAAAGTCCACAAGGGTGGGAGTTGTCATTTTGGCTGAGCTGACTTTAGTTTCTTCCTGCAATTTCCCCTGTTGTGTAGCATATTGGGGGGGGGGCGTCTTTAGACTCTCAATATCAGCTTATGGGGAGGGGAGGTGCAAGGGCCGGTTGGGGAAAGGTGGTAAAAATTATTTCCTTGACCTCATTCCATTTGTAAGAGCCTTGGATTTAACTCTCTGATTTTAATTGGAATCAGTGTGTCCCATTGAGTGTTTCTTGAGCATACAATGGAGGGAATATAATTTAGGAATGTAAAGGAGTGATCCCCCCTGTATGTTTCTGCCTAATTCAAGATGGGAACTCATCTGGTTTCCAAATATCCTCAGTCAGCTTTTCTACCGTACAAATAAGCAATATTGATTTTACCACCAGCTCTTTCTCTTTTTCTTCCAGGCCTACAGTTTGAGTTCATTAACCCCATCTTTGAATTTTCAAAAGGAATGAATGAACTACAGCTGAGTGATGCCGAATATGCACTTTTAATTGCTATCAGCATTTTTTCTGCAGGTAATAAGCCTGGAAAGGCGTAGAAAGTACTAGTGCAGAATCAAAAAATAGAAACAATGGTTGACCTCTTTATCAAATATACATATGGGAGAAGATAGGGTCCTAATGCTAGTACTGAAGGATAATTTGTGCTGTGGATATCATTTCATTTTCCTGAGTGACTGTCTGAAATAGAGAACTGGTAAAACATCCCCAGCATTCAAGAAGCCCAAACTGAAGCTGCCCACAATAAAAACAGAATGAAAGGGAAAGCCCACAGGCACCATGCTGGGGACCTCTGATCCTAATCCATGCATCTGCAAACTGCAGACCTTGCAATTCCATTTTCCCTCAGGATTTCATGGAATATAATCACTTCTATGAAGAGGGGGGAAAGTGTTTAAGCAACTGAGAAATAATGCATCCCCCTACTGAAGTCGCTAATAAAGGGAAGATATGAAAGCTGCCCTCTTCCTCAGTTACCCCATAGAGTCATTGCTTAATGCCTCTGGAGGGAGGGGGTCTACTTTGTGTCAGTGGCAGAGAGAAAAGTAATCCAGAGAATGTGCTGTGTGCACTGATGATGTTCACCTTCTGGGAAATAATAGGATTATGATAATGGATTTATTTCTGAGACACACAGAGGCTTGCACCTCAAAGCTATCTATTTATTTTACAGCACTCATAGTCTGTGTTTCTGATCAAAGCTATGACAGTGTATGCAACCACCTGGGTTGGGTAGGGATCTGGAGCTTCTTTTCCTACGTGGTTGTCTGGATGCTTTATATAGACATTAGTATTTGACTGCAAACACTGAGTACAATACAGCTATGCTGAACAAGTCCTATTGATATAATAATAATAATAATCATCATCATCATAGTAGAAGTAATAATAATGAAATTAATATAGAATGAATAAAATACTTAATATTATATACTGTCTGAATTCTTACAACATCCCTGCGAGATAGGCCAGTATTGTTATTACAGTATTGTTATTACAGATGGGGTCTGTGATTGAGAAAGAATGGTTCCCTTAAAGTCACTTTTCATAGAAGTAACTTCTGGTTTACAGCCGAGTCTTATGGTTATTGTTTATCCATTTCAAATTGGTGGGACTTTTTCTTGGCTGTATTGATTTTTTCCCCCTGAGAAAATTGTTAATAAACACTGACCAGTCACAATTGATGGAAAAATGGGTTCTTGCAACAGTATTTATGTTGTATGTTGAGGAACAGCTGTTGTTTCTCAGCTGTTGGATATCTGAAGGAGAGTTGTGGGTCTGAGCTTAGGGAGGAGGGATAGCTTTGAAGGTCTGGAGTTTAATAGGAACAGGTTAAGCACTACTAGTTTGCATTCACCTACCTATTAATTTGCTTACTGGCAGACCGACCAAATGTTCAGGACCAGCCCCTTGTGGAAAGGCTGCAGCATACCTATGTAGAGGCCCTTCATTCTTACATTTGTATCCACAGACCAATTGTAAGTATATAGATTAAGGTTCTGAGTAATCACAATGCTACAAGAGATATGAATATGTTTGTCTGTATTTTCTGATTAAAATACCCCTAAGTTTTCCAAATGAGTCTGATGCTTAATTAGCTGTGCAGTGTCTTCATTTTTTTAAAAAAATTGCTGCTATTTCCATGAGGCCACCTTATCTGAAGTCAGATTGTTGGTGCATCACTGACAGTCACTTTCCAAGGTGATGGGTTTCCCCAGCCTTGTTATCTGAGCACTTTTGTGTGGAGATTTCATGAGCTGAATGGGGGACCTCCAAGTGTATGTTCTGCCATGGAGCTATGGCCCTCTCCCTCTGTTTAGCATTTATTCTGTGGGAGGTACTGTATAAAACAGAGAAATCATGTAGTTCCTACCTATAGAGGCAACAGAGGTACCTTCAGCCATGTTGTTGTGGGAGACTGATGCCTACTGTTTGTTCCTACATCCTATAAACAATTCTCTATAAGCAATTCTCTACTGACGTAAGAAGGAAGTTAACAAGACTTGAAGTTAACAGGTAAAAACTTCTGCAAATTGTCTCGCAGCTTGATTCTCTTAAGAGACAGGCATATTTAGGGATTTTGCAATTTAAGTACTGAATTTCTGTCTCCCTTCTGAATATAAGGAATTCCCTTATGGTAAGTTATAGCAGTTCTAACAGCGCTAGCGTTAGCAGTGTTAGCAGCACTCTGGGATATTGGATAACTTTCTTCTCTGCTTCCTGAAATGCTGGAAGGCTGAATATATTTCTACCTTTGAACTGTGGCCCTAATTCTTGGGTGCAAACAAAAAAGTTTGGAAGTGTGCCCATTGAAGCTGTAAAAAAATGGACAGGATCTCTAATGTTCCAAGTAATTGACTTCGGTGTCTTGTCCAGATTTCGTACTTCATACCATTATGATTACTCATTCATTATCCTTGCCTTACCAGCCTCAGAGCATTGTTTCATTTTTGCCATTTAACACCCAAATCTCCCCCCCCCCGAAAGAAAATACTAAGATTGAATGTATTACGTAATCAGGGTATGGAAACTGTGAAGATTAGCACACTTTATTCTGAGCATAGAACTTTTCTGGCGTAGATCATCATTACCACCTGTGATATTGATGTGGTTGTGCAGAATGAATTATATACTTGGTACAGTTTTAGGTTTAGTGATATATATCATGGTATATAAAATACTTTACAATCTTATTCAGTCTCAGAATAACTTTCTTAGTGGCTCATTACTAGTCCCATTTTGTAGGTGGCAAACCGATACTTGAGAAGGATAGAGAGATTTAGAGCTGCCTTTCTCTAGTACATTTCTAAGCTTCCCCATTTTGTCCCCACAACAACCCTATTGAGGTAAGGTAGGATGAAAGAGTAACTGGCCCAAGGATAGCTGGTGAGCTTCATGGCTGAGGGGTGATTTGAACTTGGGTCTCCCAAATCCTAGTCTGGCCCTCTGACCACTAGACTGCATAGGCTCTCGCTGCTGTCTGATATGATTGTCTTTGTGTGTGACTTGCAGGATCATCTAATGTTCCCACGGATGCTAATGAAACTGGTCAGTCTTCGGACTCTAAGTAGTGTCCATTCAGAACAGGTGTTTGCTCTTCGTCTACAAGACAAGAAGTTGCCACCACTCTTATCAGAGATATGGGATGTCAATGAATGACAGCACTCTCCCAGGGCACTGACCCACTAAAGTAACCCCCATTGCTCACCTTGTGCTAACAGGAAGTCGTTCTCTCCTCTCCAAAGCACTTAGGCAGTGCAGAAGGCTGGGGGCCTGTGGTTTCTTCTATCTGGTAAAACAAATCAGAAGGCAAATAAGATGGACTATTTTGGTCTTACAGAAACAGGACAAACAACAGAAACACCTCAACATGGTAGAGATGAAGAATCCTCCTTAATAATTCCTCTGGTGCCTTTCCTCTTCCATGCGCCTGTGCTATGATGTTGACCTGGCCTGCCATCCAGGCATACAAAGAGGCTTCTGCGGGGTTTCAAAGGCATGGCCCCCTGCGTATCCAGTTCATGGAAGAACTTTAAAGTTCCTCTGGAATGAATGTACTTAATCTATTCTCCCTTTCACAAAAATTAATAGCAAACTGGACACAGATAAGGACATTTGTGTCATTTCCTCTTCATGAGACTTCATTTCTAGAAGTGTTGCTGCTTTCTGGGAGGTAGAACCACAAGTGCCATTTTTTGCTGACTTGTTGGAAAGGGGGGCTGTGAGTTGGGAAAGCTGCTGTACAATAGAAAAAACTGCTCATAACCTTTCCCACCTGTCCCAGATGTCTAACTATCACTGTGATATTTCAGGGCCAGTCACATGTACAATTTAAATGTGCCGGGGAGCTATGTTTAATCATAGCTGCCTGCCATGTACAACTGCTTCAAATGTGATGGTGTGCACCATGTGTACATAACATAAACTTGGGCAATGTGGTCCTGTGCATAATTGCTCAAAAGTAAATGCCTTACTCTCAAGTAACTATATGTAGGATTGCAGTCCTAATCTGTAACCTTCTAAGTGGGAATCATGTGTGCTTGTGGATTAGTGCAGCTCCAACATAAACCTGGTGTACTTTAATGCGCATCGTACCTATGGAATCTGCACTGCAGCCTTCCGCACTGCATTGTGCTCGGCTGTCCAGTGCTGCTTTGTTCCTGTTTAAGCAGAAACAGTTGGTTACATGTTTGTGTCTTCAGTTTCAGTAAGAGTGGTGATATGACAAATGTGTATGTAAGATACAGCCTTCTATTGGATCCTGTCCAACGCATTTTTGGTTTTTTGCTAGTGCTTGGGGAAGGGGGACAGGGAAAGTTAACACAAAGGAATACATTTAGTTTTGGGCCATTTCTGCACAGGTTCTCTGCCCTGGGTTAAATGCTGTTGGGAAGCTGTTTTTTCCCCATTTCCCCACAGCATTGTGGTGCATTTTTGCACCTCCTGGGGTTTCCCTGGCTTTTTGCCAATCTCTCTCAAACTGGCCTTGTTCCAGAGTATTGAGAAAGATCGCAGAAAATCCTGGACAAGCAACCACATAGGTGTGGGAAAGTTTGGATTTTCCCCACAATGGGCATTTTCTCTGTGACCAGTGGGGGGCTTTTAAAAAAATCGGTGCTTGAATAGTGTGATATCAATATACCGTTATAGCAATATGTACCTCAGATCCCCTGAATTCTTAGCTTTCGTTTTTTTTTAAAAAGTAAGTATCTAGCACTTTTCATTACAGAGATATAAAGAAAAAAAGTGTATCTCTGCAAGGAAAGGGGCTAGAGACTTTTTACAAAATTGCAACTGATAATTCAAAGAAAGAGATACATATTTTGGTATAATGGTATTTTGCTATAATGCTTCTAAACTGCCAATAAAAAAAACCAACAACCAGGGAAACCTGCCATGTGGAAGCCCTGTTACAGCTGATCTATATTAGAAGCTATAGTAGCAACAGGAAACCATTCCAGCCTGTCTCTGTCCAAAACATCCATGTTGTTCTGGGCCATTTTACACATTACAACGGAAGTGTGAATTCATTAAAGATTCAGCATATACCTGCTCCTTTGCTAACGTGGACACAAGTTAAAGAAAAGAACGCACTTTGTGGATACTCATTGCCACTGTCCTCACAGTTTAATTAACAGATGATGAACCTGGAGGTTTTCACCTATGACAGAGGTAACTTTTGGCGTGGTGGAATATAATAATAATAATATACGTTATTGTCATTGTACATAGTAAGTTGCAATCATTTCGGTGAACCATATTCATATACACTCACACAACCATTCACAACCATCCCATAACTCCCCTTAAGGTTCACATTGCAACTTAAACCACCAATGTCACCCAAATTCCAATTTCATACAGCATTTAAAGCAATAATAGCTCTCGAATAAAAACTATTTTTTAATCTGTTTGTCCTTGTTTTAACTGTCCTATATCTTCTACCCGAATACCCGGGTATTTCTGCCAATGGCTGCAATCTAATCGAAAATAAGAAGTTTAAATTCCAGGAGTAGCTCAGTGGCAGAGGATGCACTTTGCGTGCAAAGGATCCCAAGATGAGTACTCTGCTAAAAATGATCCTTGGGTAGCAGGCTTTGCAATACTTCTTCCTGCCCGAGACCTTAAGAGAGGCAGGGCCAAACTGGACGTGTGGATTTTTAAAGAACTGGGTCCAAGTTCCTCCCATTTAAAAGGCAGAAGGGTGATTCTTCTTTGGGTTAAAAGTTATCCTGGGAAATAAACAAAGTGAGCGAAGCTGTGCACGTCACTAAGAGCAAAAGGAGGTCTAGGTAGGCTAATGCAGAGACACCCCTACCTGGAAGAACGTGGACATGCTGGTGTCCATCCATGTGATGAGGCATGTGGCCTGTGAGTTCGCAGAACAATTCCACTTGCGCTATCAGTTCCTGCTTCACCTAAGAAAAAGAAGGAATGCTGGGGAACAGTGGCCTTTCCATGAATGGATGCGTGCAAACAACAGTTTCTACCCGCAGAGTTCTGGCATTTGGACTGGCTTTTCCGACTGAAGGCAAGAGCATTCTTCGGCTTGCTTTCTCAATCTGATATGTGCCCCTTCGGGCAAACGCAATATACTGTGAGCATAATGCCGGCACCATGCTTTGGGAAGTTCTCAGACATGATGCCCTTAGCGCCCATCCCTTTACTGCCACTGCTATGTGTGCTCTGAATTGCAATGTTGGCATAAGGTGTCCTTTCAACAACATATCTCCACCCCTATGTACATTGGTGAGTAACAGCTTTTGCTTCCAAGTGTAACTTCCTGGGTGGCAAAGCAGTACAAAAGGGGGGGGGGGGGCATCCACAAAATATTAAAACACTGACTACCATGAGCACAAGATATTAAAATACAAGCATCTGGATTATGATCTTGAATCTTCCTTAGGTATAACTTAGCTATTAAACAAGGGTTGTGATAGGAAGCAGCTGAATCCCTGTTCAAACTTGCAATCTGATTATTATGTTGACATCTGCAAATCACTCATATTCAACTCCCAGGAACCTACAATGACTCTCCCAGCTAGTATAAAAATGGGAAATAGCACACAAACTCCTTAAGTCCGGTCCAATAATTATCACACTGGATGTCCACTTCCCAAACAGCAGAGATAACATCACAACAGAGGTAGGACATCTCTGTCAGTTGTAATCTGGTGTCCACCATGGCATTAAGGTCATATCCATTGTAAGATTGGGGGTGGTGGTGGTGTTTGAATTAAAAGATGCCCATTGGCTTTGTCCTCCACAGCTCATCGAATGTCTGCAAGTGGCCCTTCTGACCTCATGATCCATGAGCCTGGACCTGATGTCATCAGATTTCCATGACTTCAGCGGGGTGCAGGTTGTACCTTATTTGGCCAGAGGAGACCACTATTGAGATCATATGGAGAATGATGCTCACCCTCTTTCTGGGCTACAGGAAGAGGAAGCTGTAGCTTGTTCAGTTTTATTCCAGTTTTGAGCCCTTGAATATCACACTGATTTTAAATCTTCAGATGGCCCAAGGTCGGCTAGCAGTCTTCAGTGAAAGAGTGGGGATTTGAAACTGGGTCTCACAGATATTAGTACGACCCTCTAACCACTGTCTCTCTAACATTGCAATGAATAAAATGTGTACATGTATGTCATTATAGTCATACTTGGTAACAGCAAGAATCCATTTAAAAAAAGTTCACAGTTTCCTGTGATTTCTGGTGATCCCCACCAGAAAATGGAAAATAGCATGACCTTTCTGGGCACAACAGTGCGTACCTTCATAGAATCATAGAGTTGGAAGGTATCTCCAGGTTCATCTAGTCCAACCCTCTGCACAATGCAGGAAATTCACAAATACCTTCCCACACTCCAATCCACATAGCCCACATAGCCCACAGGCATCCAGGAAACATCATAGCAAAGCAGGTTTAGAAAATGATAGAGTAAGCTAGGAAGACACTAGAAGGTGGATGATTGATCGGTAATTGGAGGATGAAATCACATGGATCCTCCAAAGCAATCTACTCTGCTTTGGCCACCCAAGCAGAGCAAAACGTCTGTATGGAAATAATCAAAGGCTAACATCTTCAAGGTGCCCCTAGAACTCTATTTAATTCTTTAAACTGTTTCAGGAGGGTTTGGGCCACTGTGTGACACAGAGTGTTGGACTGGATGGGCCATTGGCCTGATCCAACATGGCTTCTTTTATGTTCTTATGTTCTTTTGAAACAGTGAAGCTTTGGAGTCAGTTGTTGTATAGGAGAGAAAATAAAGACATTTTAGACTCAGTTTTTGTTTCAGTATGGCTAGGTGAGTTGAGTGTGTTAAGTACCATCAAGTCGCTTCTGACCTATGCCAACCCTATGAATTAACGTCCTCCAAAATGTCCTATTGTTAACAGCCTTGCTCAGGTCTTGCAAACTGAGGGCCTTTGTGGCTTCCTCGATTGAGTCAATCCATCTCATGTTGGGTCGTCTTCTTTTCCTGCTGCCTTCAACTTTTCCTAGCATTATTTTTTTCCAAGTGGCTTTTGTCTTGTTATAATGTGACCAAAGTATGATTAGCCTCAGTTTAGCTTTTAGGGGGAGTTCAGGCTTCATTTGATCTAGAACCCATTCGTTTGTCTTTTGGGTGGTCTGTGGTACCTGTAAAACTCTCCTCAGACATGACATTTAAAATGAATCAACTTTCTTCCCATCAGCTTTCTAAATTAGGTGAGATAACAGGAAATAACTAATAAAGACAGAAATCATAAGCCTCTTAGAAAATAATGGGCAAAGGAGAAATTAAAGGAATAATGGGAGGTACAAGAATTGTGGCTAAAGGCAAATTTCTTCTAATTAAATATATTTTGAGATGTTGCTTGTGAGAATGGGAATTATCAGATGTTTGAGGAACACAGCATTTAATTAAAAACCAGGTGCAACCAGCATTTAATCCTGTTTCAAGATGATTGTGGAAAAGCAATATTCTAGCAGTGCAAAAGGACAGAAGTATGCCATCATGCCAGGGCAATACAGGATGTTATCTGTAACACAAGATTGCCACAAGGAATTGCAGTAGGAGACCA